CTTTGGCTCCTTAATAGTCATTAAAAAGTTACAGCCTTGACTGGGTGGCAGAGTTGGTTGGGACATTGTCCTGTACCCCCAAAGACTGCCAGTTCCATCCCCGGTCCGGGCACATGTAAGAATCAACCAGTGAGTGCATAAATGAGTGGAACAGCAAATCGGTGTTTCTCTCTCTGTCTCTCTCTTCCTCTCCCTTATTCTCTCTCTAAAATTTAAAATAAAACAAAATATTTTCCTATGTCATGCTTCCATAAACATCCTCTTTTTATTTTTAAATTAAAATAAAACCCTTCCCTGAGTATATGCTTATTGATTTGAGAGAGAGCGAAATACATAAATAAATAGGAGGGAAGGAAGGAAGGAAGGAAGGAAGGAAGGAAGGAAGGAAGGAAGGAAGGAAGGAAGGAAGGAAGGAAAAAAGATGTGAGAGGCAAACAGTGATTGGTTACCTCCTGCACACTCACAGACTAGGGATCAAAACTGCAACCTCGGGATGTGCCCTGAACAGGAATCAGACCTGCAGTCTTTTGGTATATGAGACACACCAGCGAACTGAGCCACCTGACCAGGCCTCCATGAACATTCTTTTTTAAAAAATAAAGATTATAACACAAAGCCGGTTAGTCTAATTATTCCCATTAACGATTTTCCTTTGACATCTTTTCATGCTATTAAATATTCTCCTGTGACGTTTTTCATTGCTGCAGCATTTTCTGTTGGATAAATGTGCTAGAATTCATTTACCTAGACCCCAACGATGGCAATTTAAGATGTTCCAACTATTTTGATGTTATAAGCAATGTTGTGGGTTTTTTGTTTTGTTTTTTTTTTTAGAGAAGGGAGGGAGAAAGAGTGGGAGAGAAACATCAATGTATGGTTGCCTCTCATGTGTCCCCTACTGGGGACCTGGCCTGAAACCCAGGCACATGCCCTGACTGGGAATTGAACCTGTGGCCCTTTGGTTTCTAGGCCCGCACTCAATCCACTGAGCCACACCAGCTGGGGCTGATATCATAAGCAATGTTGTGATGACCATCCTGGCAACTAAATCTTGGCACACAGAGAGGGTTACTTTCTTCCCATACACTCCTTGAACTGCAGTCATTGAGAGAAGAAGTGGGTGGAGTACTGAGGGCTTTCCCTGGCCTCTGTGCCCCCCACCCTGCCTCATTCTCGGAACTTCCCCCCTGCTAGGCGGAGAATTTTCTCTCGGAGCTACTAGTATCACTAGTGAGATGCACCAGGTTTCCACGTGCTTCTTGACTGATGATGGTGTTTATTTTTTTGTAAATTGCCCGTGTGTGTTCATGGACCCCCCTTTTCTTTAATCCAAAATGTGTTTAGTGAGATGGCTCCCCACCCTTGGCGATTCGGGGAGCTTCGGCGCTGCGTCCTCCTGCAGGCCGGCAGAGCGCAGGGGCGGCCGGCACCCGAAGCCACCGTCGGCGCGGGGCGCGGCAGCGCTGTTCCGGAGTCCCGAACTGGGGCTCGCGCCAGGCTCCTCTTCCCGTGTTGCCCCGTCTCCCCCGGAGAGGGATGAAGGAGATCGTCGGCGAGAGGCATCTGGCCCAGGGGAGGTCGTCGCCTCCGGAAAGGCAGTTCGCCCAGTTTCTTTGGGAGATGTTTCTCATTTCTTTGTCAGCTTATCAGTGTACTTTACATATTAAACACATAAGCCTTCTCTCTTCTATGTTGCAAAATATTTTCCCCTAGGTTGTTATTTGCTTCTCATTGTCTTTTAAGTGATATTTTAATTGTGGGGTGGGGGTGAAAAGACTCAATAGTGTGTTTTATTTTAATGCAGCCAAGGCCCTTGATCTTTGCCTTCTTTTCCCTTTTTCAGTGTTTGCTGCCATTGGCGGTGCCTACAGAGAACTCCTCCCCCCGCGATGATGGGAATAATCACCTGTGTTTTCTTCCACTACTGGTTTATCTTCCTTTTCAACTTTACAAGTTGTAACCCATCTGTATTCATTCTGGAGTGTGCTGTGAGGCAGGATTATAATTAGACTTTTTTCCCAAATGATTGGTCAGTTGATCCAACACATCTTTAGAAATCTAGTACATATGGATTGTCTTTTTTAAGTATTTTATTTATTTATTTTTAGAGGGAGGGGAAGGGAGGGAGAAAGAGAGGGAAAGAAACATTGATGTGTGAGAGATACATGGATCGGTCGCCCCTCGAACAACCCCATCCTGGGACCTGGCCCCCAACCCGGGCAAGTGCCCTGACCGGGAGTCAAACCCGCGGCTTTGCGGTTTGCAGGCCAGCACTCGGTACACTGAGCCATGCCAGCCAGGGCTGTGTGGGTTAAGTCTCGCTGTGAAAGCTCGAGTGAAAAGCGGTAAGAAATGTCGGAGTGGGCGGCACATGAGCCATCTCTCATTGAATAACTGCGGCCCCTAAGGTTCAACTTGACCCAAAGAATTGTTTACAGGTCACGTTTTTTTCCTGGTGCTGGAGTTCACGGCGTTGGCAGAAGAAACACTGGGGTTGACATATTTAGAAGAAAATCTGCTTACGTGGAACCACATTCACTCACTCAGTCCAAATTGATTGTCTAATACATACCCGATAGCAATGATTATGATAAGTTCTTGAGCAAAATATAGATAATAAGGTAAGGCCTCGCCGGTAAGTTGGCATTTGGGCAGAACCTCCAGGAAGTGGGGCAAAGGCCTGCAGACCATCAGGGAATACACATTCTGGTCCACAGGCGGCAAACGCAAGGCCTGCGGGCCACACCCAGCCCACCACCTGGTTTTATCTGACCCGACACCTTGTTTCTACCCGGCCGAGGCACTGGGCTCCTTGTCCCTAGTTAAGGAGCAGTTACATTTCTACAGGTTTGCAACTACATTCGGCCCTTTGAAGGCAACCTGGAGGCTGATGTGGCCCCCGGTGACAATGACTTTGACACCCCGAGGCTGTATGGGGTTGATGCTCGAACCAGCTAAACTACCTGACCAGGGGGCTTTTTTCTTTTTTTTTTTTAAATAAGAGTTTATTTGAGCCAACTGATGGTGAGCAAGATTTCCAATGCTCCTGGGATTTCTTTTGAGGGTGATGAAATGTCCCCAAATCAATTGTGTTGATGACTGCACGACTGTGAAAATACTACAAATCACTGAATTGCATACTTTAAACAGTTGAGTTGTATGGTGTATGGATTAAGTTGTTGGAGTCCACCAAACAAGAGGGGGAGAGGGCGAGTTGGAGGCCCAAGTAGGACGGATGTACATTCAGCCCCGAGGAAGTGGTGGTTTGGGAAGAGGACTTGAAGGGGATTTTCTCTTTAAGAGAGAATGCCTGTTTTAAGACTTTGAAAACTGCCAGGAATTGACAACTCAGCCTTTTAAAATTAAAACAAAACAAACATACACTTAAGTCTGTTTCTAGACTTGTTGTGCAGTTGAATTGATATCTGTGATTATCCCAGTATCGACTAAACGTTCTTTAGCCCTGGCTGGGAAGCTCAGCTAGTTAGAGCATCATCCGATACACCAGCGTTTGGGTTCCGTCCTGGGTCAGACCCCAGGCGGGAATCGACCAATGAGTGGACAACAAATCACTGATGTTTCTCTCCCTCCCCCTTTCTCTAAAATCAATGTAAAAACATTGTATATATTATTCTACTTGGAATACTACTCTTTTTAAAAAATAGTTTATTTATTTATTTTTTAGAAACAGGGAAAGGGGCCCTGGCTGGTGTAGCTCAGTGGATTGAGCATGGGCCTGTGAACCCAAGGGTCGCTGGTTCCATTCCCAGTCAGGGCACATGTCTGTCTCTCCCTCTCTTTCTCCTTTCCTTCTCCTGTGTCTAGAAATAAACAAGTAAAATCTTAAAAAAGAAAAAAGAAACAGGGAAAGGGAGAGAGAAATGGAGGGAGAGAAACATAGATGTGTGAGAGAAACATCAATTGGTTGCCTCTCTCATGGCCCCAGCTGGGGACCAAACCCTCAACCCAGCCATGTATCCTGACCAGGAATCAAACCAGTGATACCCAACCCCCTGAGCCACACCGGTCAGGGCAACTATTACTTCTTTTAAACAGCTGTGAACCAGAGGATCGAGGTTTGATTCCCAGTCAGGGCACATGCCTGGGTTGCAGGCCAGTTCCCAGCAGGCGACACATGAGAGGAAACGATACATTGATATTTCTCTCCCTCTCTCCTTTCCTTCCCCTCTAAAGATAAATAAAATCTTTAAAAAACAAATAAAAATAAAAATATAATCCATCTTACACACCCTGACTGGTGTAGGTCAGTGGATTGAGTGCCAGCCTGCAAACCAAAAGGTTGCTGATTCAAATCCCAGTCAGGGTATGTTCAGGGCACATGCCTGGGTTGCAAGCTGATTGATGTTTCTCTCTCTCTCTTTCTTCCTCCTTTCCCCTCTTTCTATAAATAAATAAATGAAATCTTTAAAAAAAACTTAAAAAAGAAAGAACAAAATGTTATCACTTGGAACAGCATGGATGGACTGAGAGGGTATTACGATAAATTAAGTAAAGTCAGTCAGACTGAACACACCAGATCTCGTCTGACCTCGGAAGCTAAGCAGGGTCGGGCCTGGTTAGTACTTGAATGGGAAATAAGTCAGTTGGAGAAAGACACATACCGTATGATTTCATTTATGTGTGGAACCTAAAGAACAATACAAACAAACAAACAAAACAGAAACGGACTCACAGATACAGGGAACAGACGGACGGTGGGCAGAGGGGAGGGGGTTGGGGGACCTGGTGACACAGGCGGAGGGACTGAGAAGTGCAGACTGGTGGTCACGGAACAGTCACGGGACGTGAAGTGCCGCACAGGGAATACAGTCGGTACCACTGTGATAACTGTGGGTGGTGTCAGCGGGGACAGGAACTGCCAGGGGAAGCGCTCTGTAAAGGGTGTGACTGTCCGACCGCTCAGCTGCACACCTGAAACTAATACAAAATAGTAGTGACTATAAACTGTACTTAAATAAGTAAATAAGAATTAAAAAAAAACCCTTACCTGGCGGGGGAGATACTATGATCACGAAGTCGGTTTTCCCAGGGCAAGGCTCACCCACCACAGTCTGATGTGCTGACCCCCGCGATTTCCCCAAATGTGGGAAACTCGACTGCATGACTTGTGGTTGTGGGGGACTGGGTTCGCACTCTCCCCTGCTTACAATTTTTTTAATTTTTATTTATTTATTTTCAGAGAGAGGGGAAGAGAAGGAGAGAGGGAGAGAAACACTAATGTATGGTTGCCTCTCATGTGTCCCCCACTGGGAACTGGCCTGCAACCTGGGCATGTGCCCTGACTGGGAATCGAACCGCGATCCTTGGCTTCACAGGCCCGTACTCAATCCACTGAGCTATACCAGCCGGGGCAAAAAAAAAATTTTTAAATATAAAAAGAAAACAAATCTATTTTCGAGGGATAGAGAAATTTTTATTTTTTAGAACTATCAGACTAAAAAGAGAATTCCAGCCTTGAACTGTGTGTCTCAGTGGGTTGAGCATTATCTGACAAAGCAAAAGGTCGCTGGTTCGATTCCTGGTCAGGACACATGTCTGGGTTTGGGGCTCAGTTCCCAGTCGGGGCACTTCTCAGAGGCAATTGATCAATATTTCTCAATGTTTCTGTCTCATATCGATGTTTCTCTCCATTTTTTCTCCCTCCCTTCCCCTCTCTCTAGAAATCAATAAAATCTTTTTTTTAAGGTAATTCCAGAACTTGTTATAAACACTGAGTTAAGATCTAGCCCCAGAGCCTTGGCTGGTGTAGCTCAGTGGGTTGAGTGTGGGCCTGCGAACCAAACACCCACAGTACGATTCCCAGTCAGGGCACATGCCTGGTTGTAGGCCGGTTCCCAGCAGGGGACGCACAAGAGGCAACCACACATTGATATTTCTCTCCCTCTCTCCTTCCCTTCCCTTCTAAAGATAAATAAACTAAACCTTGAAAAAATGTAGCCCCAGAATAAAATACACTATAACCTTACGAGGTCACTGATTGAAAGGCACTTCCTTTCAATCAGTTCTGATTTGCTTCCTAAAAACAAACCAGAACTATACTGAACCAGAACTATACTGCGGGTCTCCTTCTTCCAGAGGCTTGGTTGTTATTTGCATAATGGGACCGACTTGTGTGTCTTGGCATCATGAACAACCACCTGCTCCACCCACCCGTAGGGCCACCCCAGCCCCCAACACAGAGAACTTGTGTAGAACTGGTGCCGTACTTATGGCTCCTGTCTTTTTTTAAGATTTTATTTATTTATTTTTGGACACAAGGGAAGGGAGGGGGAAAGAGGGAAAGAAACATCAGTGTGTGGTCGTCTCTCACACACCCCCAACTGGGGACCTGGGCCGCAACCCAGGCACGTACATGCCCTGACTCGGAATCAAACCGGCGACCCTTTGGTTCGCAGGCCGGCACTCAATCCACCGAGCCATGGCAGCCAGGGCACGGTTCTTGTTTATTAAGCTCTTTCAGGTGTTAGATGCATTTAACCTTCACAATGACCAGGTGTGGCAAGCAGCGTTCTCATCCCACATTCTGTGCGTTCATTCAAGGTGGGTACACTTGAGGCCAAGGAGACAAAGGTCCAGCACATGGCAGGCTGGGAATCCACGCACCACAAGCAGGAAACAAACGGTGGAGGGGTAATGATGCCGCGTTGAGAAGGACACGAGGCAGCCGGCCGGGGTTGCGATGAGAACAGTGAGGAAGGCCTCTTTCAGTTAGGTCTCCGGAAGGTGGTCCAAGAAGACTCCCTCTCAGACTAGAGAAACCAGAAGGAGCCCTGGCCCGGGAGCCCAGTTGTTTGGGACATCTTGTCGAGGCCCGAGGTGCCCGGTTTGACCCCCATCAGGGTTCGAGAGTGGGTGGAGCAACGAATGCGAATCCTGTCTCTCTCCCTTCCTCTCTCTCTCCCCAATCAAATGAAAATATTTTTATTCTTACCCACGGGCATTTATTTTCATTGCTTTGAGAGACAGATCGACATGAGAGAGGAACAGCGATTGGTTGCCTTCTCATACGTGCCTCCACTGGGGATCGAACCCACAACCTGGACATGCATCCCAACAGGGAATTGGACCTGCGACTTTTTGGTTTATGGGACAGTGCTCCAGCCAACTGAGCCATACCGGCCAGGGCAAAAAACTGTTAAAAATAAAATAAAATGGAGCCAATGCCTCAGAGCTGGAGACAAGTGTTTCAGTCAGAAGAAACTGAGGCACAGAGAGGGATAGGAAAGGCATGAGGTCACACAGCAAATACATATAGGAGAGCCAAGATGTAAAACTCTACTGCCAGATGCCAAACTCCCCTCCATGAATGACATTGTAATAGACCAGTCATTTAAAAAATATTTTATTTATTTTTAGAAAAAGGGAAAGGGAAGGAGAAAGAGAGGGAGAGAAACATCAATGTGTGGTTGCCTCTCACACGCCTCCAACTAGGGACCTGGCCCACAACCCAGGCACATGCCCTGACTGGGAATCAAACAGGCTGCCCTTTGGTTCACAGGACAGCACTCAATCCACTGAGCCACACCAGCCAGGGCTGATAAACCACTCATTAACTGGACAAACGTGAGGTTCGCACACAGCAGGTCCTAAGAATAATCGCCCTTGCTTGGTCCTGGGTGGAGGGATGGCAGCTGGGGCTGGGGCTCGCACCAGAGGAAGGCTCGGGAGTGTTAGAGAAGGATTTCAAAAGACTATCTTCCTGGGCTCCAGCTGGGAGAGGGGCAGGAGTTTCAACCCATTGTCCTTCTCTTCCTTCCCGCTCTCCAACTCCAGCTGGGACAAGGCTGTTTCAGAGTTTATTAAGGCTCCTTTGTCTTCAGTCCACCTTTGAGCTGGGGCCTTTCCGGCTGGGGGTGGGCTGGGGCCTGAGCTGGGTGGAAGCCAAGTCGGAGGGGCAGAGAGAGAGAGCGGGGCAGGCGGGGAATCCTGGGGCCTGGAGGGGCTGAGGAATCCACCTCTCAAACGTTCCCTCTTCCCAGAGTGTTCCCTTCCCTTGCTTTATTTTTCTTCTGGTCCTTGGGTCATAGTAGGCATTCAATTTATATTTGTTGAATAAAGTTATCTGTGCTCTTCCATGTGAGAGGCACGGGGCTGGGCGTGTTAACACCACCTCCTCTCCACCCACTGTCCATCTCCGAGTGCTGACCTCCGTCCTCACTCTAATGGCCAAGAAAGAATCTTCCACGCACTTTTCAGGCTGCAATGACGTGTGCAGTGTCTGCCAATGCTCAGAGTGTACAAGAAAGCAGGACTGCCTCGTGGTAGCACCTGTCCCCAGGCACAGCGTCTGACCCACGAGAGGCATGGGAAAACATTTGCTGGGTGAGTGAATACATGAATGAATGAACAGTAAGAGCATCTCAGGGCTGAGCTGGGAAGCCTGCCTGTGTGACTTCGAGGCAATGCCTGCTGCCCAGAACTGCATGGGCTTTTCCTTTCTAAGCTGCTCTCATTTCACTGATACTGCCTTTACTCTAAATAGTTCTGGAATTCTTCCTGGGTAAATGGATGTTAAACTTCAGAGCACAGAAAGACGGCCAGGGACAGGCCAAGCCCACCTGCGGGGGAACGGAGTAGCGGGCCGTCCTGGACTACGGGAATCTGCTTCATCGCAGTCCACTCTCCACTCTGCAGCCGGGCTCTTCTCAGAGTCCGTAAACCCAATGCAATCGCTCCCTGGCTGCAAACCCATCCGTGGTTTCCTGGCGCCCCAGTGGTCAACTCTAAACTCCTTGTCCCTTTAGTGCCGGTGGGATCTGGCCCTGACACCCTGCCGCATCAAGGTACCCGGTTCTCTTGGTTCTTGGGCACTTCAGGATGCTGTTCCTTCTACTGGAGACTCTTCCCCCATCCCCACTCCTGTCTGTGCCCTTGAGTTTTCCCTGCCAGGCAGACTTTCTTCAGACCTCAGCCTAGAAGCCCTTCCCTCCGTCCTGATCCCCAGCTGCATGGGGGCCCTCTGCTGGCCCCCCGCCCCAGTACATCCCCCAGGACTGACTCAGAGGGCGTTGTGACTGTCCCTCCCACGCGGCTGTAAGCTCAACGAGGGCAGAAACCGTCTCAGTCTCCAGAACCTAGCACCGTGCCTGGCTCATGATTAGTGGAACTTAGGGAAGGGCAGCACTTGGATGACCAATTGTGTGTGGGGAGGTGCGGGGGGGGGGGGGCGGTGACCCTGTGGCCTCGTTTACTCAGGACCAATCTTTCCCACCTTTTAAGGCCCAGTCTCCCTTTGTGTGGTCTCCCAGGTCCCCTGTGGCTTGGTGCTAATAATAATGTGAATAATTACTAAGTTTGTGTGCTTGCTCTCCAAGGGCTAACTCAGTCATATTTCAACTGGGATAGGCCTTAGTGTCCCAACTGTGTGGGCAAGAAAACTGAGGCACAGAGTGATTTAGAGAAAGAGAGCACACGGTTTTGTATGAATCGGGCAGTTGTGGGTTTTCATCGAACCACCACTCACTGGCTAAGCTCAAACTTGAGCAAGAGACGGAAGGTCTCCGAGCCTTCATTCTTTCCTGTATCTGTGAAAGGCGGGTGGTGAGGATACCTGACCTGTCCGGATGTTGTGGCGATTCATGCCAAGTGCTTAGCACAGGGAGAACGCTCTAGAAAGTCTGTGTGAGGGGCAGACTATGGCAGAACCCGGACTATGTTTCTCTCTTGCATTGATGTTTCTCTTCATCTCTCTCCCCTCCTTCCTTTCCCCTTCTCTAAAATTAAAAACAAAAACAAAAACAAAAGTTTAAGAAAAGAAGTACAGGTAGAAAGCAGGAAGCTGCCTGGAAGGCCCTGTTGAGATCTACAGGCAGGAAACAGAACTTACTGATGGCTATGTATTTGTTCAACTAGTCTTCACTGTGTGTGCCACAGTGCTGGGCGGGCTCTGGGGACAGCTGTGGTCCCCACGTTGGTGGAGCTGTCCCACTGGGGCAATGACAGGTATTACTAACTTGCTACTTAATTCCAATTTTAAGGAATGATCCAGAAGCAAGAAACTCAGTCCACTGAGAATCAACAACGGGGGCTGGGATCTGGGCCTTTAAGGAAGTAACGCTTCCAAGGGGGCTTGAAGGTCAGGAGGGCAGGGAGGAGCGACCAGGTGGAGGAAGGGTGCACAGAGGCCAGAGAATGGGTGGGGGTGTTTGAACTGCTGGTGTGATCTGGAACGGGCCAGAGGGCCTGCTGCTTTGAGATGGGGTCTGGAGAAAGGCCCCTGCAGGGCTGTTTGCTGCCCCAGTGCTCCTCCCCTCCCCTCTCCTCCCCTTCCCCCCCCCCCCCGCCCCCTCCTCCACTGAGCCCTACTCTCCCTTTCAGCCTCCACCTTTCTGGCACATGTGGGGCTCAAGACTTGTCCATCTTGCCGTGGCTGGTGAGGCTCAGTGGATTGAGTGCTTGCCTGCAAACCAAAATGTTGCTGATTCGGTTCCCAGTCAGGGCACATGCCACGGTTGTGAGCCAGGTCCCCATTTGGGGGTGAGCATGAGAGACAACCAATGTTTTTCTCCCTATCTCCTTCCCTTCCCCTCTAAAGATAAATAAATAATACAAATCTTAAAAAACACACACACACAAAACTTTCTCATCTTACAAATGTTTCCCCAGTTGCCTTGCCCACCCAAGGAATATATACAATATGCCTTCCAGCACAGCCAAGCATTGTCTGTTTATCTGTTCATCCGGTCGGTCACTCCTGTCTTTCCACAGACAAGTCACATAAAACTTGAGCACTATGAAGAGAGAAAAATAAAACGGAAATTACCCAGGGGCGACCGAAGTCAATATTTTGGACCTGTGCTTCTAGGTGTCGTTAGTTGGGGTCAGGCACTGTCGGAGAGGAAGGGCATCCAGGAAGAAGTAAGAATACGGCTGCAAAACGGCGGCCGTCAGGGCTCAGAAGTCAAAGGCCACGAGCACAGTAACGACCCACTGCAGCACCACAGCTGATACGAAGAATACTGAGTGTCGGCTGTAACTGAAACACAAAATTAGGAAAAAGAAAAAAGTGAGACATTGCTATAAAAACAGAATTACTGTATGTAAATTGCATATCTATTTTAAAGATTTTATTTATTTTCAGAGAGAGGGAAAAGGAGCGAGAAAGAGAAGGAGAGAAACACCATGTACAAGAAAAACATCAGTTGGTTGCCTCTCACAGGCCCCCAACCTGGGACCTGGCCTGCAACCCAGGCATGTGCCCTGAAGAGGAATCGAACCCACAACCCTTTGGTTCATAGGCCAGCGCTCAATCCACTGAATCACACCAACCAGGGTAGCATTTTATGAAAACTTTAATATGCTGTAAACATTTTGCTGCATTTAAACATTCATGTAATAACAGTGTTAATGGCCACCTAAGATTCTACACACGTGTCAGAAATACTGAACCCAGGGCCTGTGTCCCTTCTTTTTCAAATGTTTAGTGAGCAGCTGTTGTGTGCCACAGCTTTGGTTAGAACTGACACTGACTGCAAAATCAGTCACTCTTATCATAGTCACACTATTATAAATCACATGTTGCTAAATATCCTTGGGGTTCAGTGTCTGTGTGAATCTGTAATTGTTAACTCAGGCAAAAAAAAGAAAAAAAATCCCTGAAGTGGGATATCTAGATTAAAGAGGAGATGTAACCCTGGCTGGTGTGGCTCAGTGGATTGAGCACTGGCCTGTGAACCAAAGGGTCACTGGTTCAATTCCCAGTCAGAGCACGTGCCTGGGATGCAGGTCAGGTCCCCAGTTGGGGGTGCCCCAGAGGCAACCACACACTGATGTTTCCCTCCCTCCACTTTTCCCTCCCTTCCCCTCTAAAAATAAATAAATAAAATCTTAAATAAATAAATAAAGAAGAGGTATACTTTAAGGTCAAATTACCCTCCAATCAGGATTTACAAATTTACCTTCATACCCACTTCCTGTGTTTAGCTTCTCAATAACATTCATTACTTCCTCTGCTTCCTCCTTTCGTTCCTCATCCCTCTGCAGGCTGTTTTTTGTCCCCACAACTCCACTGAAATTGCTAAGGCTACCATTATATCACCTAAAAATGCCCATTGAGCTGTTTTCTGGTCTCATCTTTATTGATCTGTTTGGGGCATTTAATAACGTGGACCTTACTGACACCCTCTCTTCCTGAAACGTTTTCTTCCTTCGGTTGGGTTAAGCGGGCCCGGTCTCACTAGCCTCACTTCACAGCTAGGAAGTCAAGGCCCACAGAGGCACCAAATGCCTCCCAAATGATGGGGGGCCATCAAATCCAGGCCTCCAACACCCACAGTCATAAGCGTCTATCTAAGTGTGATATTTGGAGTCCGTGGTGATGGTTGCAAATTCTTCTAGCACACCGATGGCAAACACGAGGCGGGCACCCCAAATCCGCCCCTCCACCTTGTTTCATCCGGCCCGGCACGCTGTTTCCACCCGGGGGCAGCACTGAGCTCTCACTTAACTGTTAAGGAGCAGTTACATTTATACAGCCTTAAAATTACATTTGACCCTTTGAAGGCAACCCCGAGGCTGATGTGGCCCCGGGTGAACATGACTTTGACACCCCTGCTAGCATTAAGAGGGCCTCGCAAGAACATTGTGTGGTTCTTTCTTTGCGGGAAGAAATTTCTGTGGCATTTCATTTTAGCACCTTTGCAGGTCTAACCATCCCTCCAGGCTTTGGCTGAAACAGGGTTTTTTCTGTTTCTGTTTTTGTTTTTTTTTAAAGATTTTATTTATTTTTAGAGAGAGGGGAAGGGAAGGAGGAAGAGAGGTATAGAAACATCAATTTGTGGTTGCCTCTCACTGGGGAGCTTGCCTGCAACCTAAGTATGTGCCCTCAAATGGGAATTGAACCAGCAACGCTCTGATTCACAGGCCTGTGATCAATCCACTGATCTATGCCAGCCAGGGCTGAAACAGGGTTCTAATGAGGATTCAGCGGTGGTGGTGCAGAGGGGCCCCTAGGTGGGCAGGTTTTCATCCCCGATATCTTGGGCAGCAGGAAAGCAGCCCAGTGGCCGAGCCATTGGATTCCTGCCAAGACGCTCAGAACAGGGCTTCCGGCCAAGCAGCCGCCTGTGGGTGTCCTGGGCAAATGTCATGGGGACTTGAATGTACTGGGTAACTTGGGGCAGTCACGCTGACGATCAGCACTCTCAAGTGACTGATCACATTTGCTTCTTCACAGCATTGTTTTGAGGATTTAATAAGATAACACACATAAAGCTCTGGGCCTCTGCCTGTCATACAACACCCATGTGGTCAATAGCTGGGTCTTTAATTTCAATGTAACAAGGCTGTTTCTGTAGACTACCTCATTTGGGCTTTCCAACTACTGAATCATGCTGGGGATCTCATATGGATATTTTACTTATTCTTATTTACTGATTTTTTTTTAGAGAGATAAGAAGGGAGAGAGAAACATCAATGTGTTGTCCTACTTATTTATGCGTTCACTGCTCTGACACTTGGCTACCCAGATGAGTGCGTGGCCAGGGCAGCATATGGATATTTTAAATTACCATTCTATTGGGGAGGACACTGAAGATCCGAGGTAGAGCACTTCTTGACTTCAAAGAGGCGGCCAACTGGAGCAGCGCGGTTCTCGGCTCCGCTGGGTGAACCTGTTTTGCTTGGTGGTCCCAGGCCTGCAGGTCTTAAAACTCGCCAACCAAGGCTGGCTACATCCTCCCGCGCGGGCCTCTGCGAAGGACGCTCGGCACCATCTTTGAACCTGGCAACGGGGACGCACTTCCGCATTCCCCGCCTCCGCCCCCAAGGGAACAGCCGCACAGCCCCCAAGCGTTCTCCTTATGCGGATAGAGTATCTAACACTGGTTATGCTTGTATAACTGGCTAAAAAAGAATAACTTATCTCCTTTTCCCGGGTCCTGGGGGAATTCTGACCACTTCAAAAATGGCACCGACAGCCTCACCTCCCCAGTCTTCCGTTCTGGAGACGCGGGGACGAAGGTCGCATTGGAGTGCGCCCGCGCAGGCCTGTCTCCATGGCAACCTGCGCGCAGCCCAGGCACCTCTGCCTGGCGGGAAGCGCGGGTGCTGTGGCGCTGGCTACAGGCAGGGCTGCGAGCGCCGAGGGCCCCGGGCGGTCGGGGCTGCTGCAGGATGAGACCCTGGGCGTGGTGTCCGTGCCTTCGCAGTGGAGGGGCGTCCAGGGCCTCCGCGGGGAGACGGTGAGGGCGCGGGCCCGGCTCTGGGCGACGCGGGCGGCGGGGCGAGGGGCCACGCCAGGACCCCGGGCCAGGTGCTGGCGTCCCACCGATTTATTTTCATATTTTAATACACAAGGACTAACCTTGGGGATGCTCTCGTCTCAGTTTCCCCAGTCTTTGAACAACAACATAAAGGTTTTTTTTTTTTTTAAAGAACCCCCTGAAGACCCTACGTTTGGAAGGATTTTGTGTGAACTTTAGTTTTTAGGCATTTCAAATCATCTTCCGTTTAAAAAAATGACCACACTGCATCATAAGATCTAGACAAGTCGCTTCTTGTAGTTGAATCAAAAGCACACAAAAAGGTGCTTTGGGGAGATGAGGGGCCGGGCTCCTGGGTGCCAGGGCCGCTCCCGAGGCGCTTGGAACTCCCGCTGCGCGCTGCGCGGAGCGGTTCGGGCGCGGAGGCCCTTTGGGGCCTCCCCCCCGGAGCTTTGCCTGGGCGCGTGTGCGCAGGGGATAGAAAATGAACAGTGTATGTAATAAGCATATTACGCAGTGTGTCAGGAGGGGAACGGTGCCCCGTACAAGAAAAAGAGGGGTGAGGGTTTAGAAGGGTGGATCGGGGAGGAGGAGGGCGCGTTGCGTCTGCACGGGGGGGGGGGGGGGCATTTAAACAAAAGACTCGGAGTGAGAGAGTGAGCGCTCCTGCTCCACCACGCTGGATTCCTGAGTTAGAAGGGTCCAGGCAGCGCGAAGGGCGGGTGTAGAGGCCTGGGGTCAGAGCTAATCTGGTGTTTGAGGAGTCCGCGCGGCTGGAGAGGAGTGCAGGGCGGGAGGGTAGAATGGTTCCAGGTGGGATCAGAGAGGTCCAGCAGAGGCAGGTCAAGCAGGTTGATGCAGAAAATTGAGGCTTAATTTGTCACATAGGTGTGTCCAATGTGCAGCGCTCATATGCTCACCAACACCTATGGGGTTTCCCTGAAGTCTTGCCTTTGAGGACAGTTTCTTGCTTCAGGCCAACAGCCTGTGGGTTTCAAGCCGGGATTTGATCTGGCTTCAAAGCGCTCCTGCTCCACCACGCTGCATAGGACCCACAGTTCTAGTTAAAAAGTAAAGGCAGTGGGTGTTGCAGTTACATAGATCCTTACCGCAGGTCACTGTATGTAATTCCCTGGATTTGGAAAAAATACTTGAAATACCTCTCTCTGACTCGCTGATGATTCAGATTTTAGAGGACTCCAGGTTGAGAACTCCCGGTTCACTGTAACTTTTTTTTTCCCCAGAAGAATGAGATTGAGGCTCGTTAATTTTCTTGTAGATAGTTTTAACCTGTAGGAAGAACTGATTCTAGGCTTTCATTTGTGAGGTGATTCATTTAAATCAGGCTCTTATCTTACTGAAGGAGTGTTTTTTTTTTTTTTAAGATTGTATTTAGGTATTTATTTTTAGAGAGAAGGAAAGGAGAAAGAGGGAAACATCAATGTGTGACTGTCTGCCTCTCTCGCGCCCCCTACTGGGGACCTGGCCTGCAACCCAGGCAAGTGCCCTGACTGGTAAACTGCAGACCCTTTGGTTCACAGGTCTGCACTCAGTCCACTGAGCTGCACCAGCCAGGACAGGAGATTTTTATTAAGTTGTAAGAATCTTACAAGGGTTGGAAGGAAGTGGTAAATTGTTTTTTCCCAATTAACTTTTTTTCTTTGACCAGGTCAGGTCACATACAAAGACTCAACCAATGAATTCATAAACAACTGGAAAAACAAGTCTCTGTTTCTCTCTCTCAAATTAATACGAATTTTTTAAAGTTATCTATTCCAAAAGTTTGGGAAAAATGGATAAATTAAAAAAATAAAAATCACCCCACAATCTCATTCCCCCCATAGCGATTTGGGTTGTATCCATTCCCTTTCTGTTTTGTCTCTTCTCCACATTTTTTATTTTTTTATTTTTTTTAACTTTTTTTTATTGATTATGCCATTACATTTGCTCTATTCCCCCCTCCATTCCCCTCCACCCTGCATACCCCTCCCCCACCATTTCCCCCCTTAGTTCATGAACACATGTCTCAAATTCTTTAGATTCTGTATTTCCCCTGCTATTCTTACCCTCCCCCCTATCTATTTTCTTTCTACTGTCTATGCTACTTATTTTCTGTACCTTCTCCCCCCCTTCCCCTCCTCCCACTCCCCTGTTGCTAACCCTCCATGAGATCTTCATTTCTATGGTTCTGCTCCTGATCTAGCTGTCCTCTTAGTTTGCTTTTGTTTTAGGTGTGGTTCTTAATAACTGTGAGTTTGCTGTCCTTTCACTGTTCATCTTTTTTATCTTCTTTTTCTTAGGTAAGTCCCTTTAACATTTCATATAATAAGGGCTTGGTGATAATGAACTCCTTGAATTTGGTCTTATCTGAGAAGCACTTTATCTGTCCTTCCATTCTAAATGAAAACTTTGCTGGGTAGAGCAATCTTGGTTGTAGGTCTTTGGATTTCATGACTTGGAATACCTCTTTCCAATCCCTTCTTGCCTGTAAGGTCTCTTTTGAGAAATCAGCTGACAGTCTGATGGGAACTCCTTTGTGGGTGACTGTCCCCTTAGCTCTTGCTGCTTCTAGGATTCTGTCCTTCATTTTAATCTTGGCTAATGTAATGATGATGTGCCTTGGTGTGTTCCTTCTTGGGTCCAACTTCTTTGGGACTCTCTGAGCTTCCTGGATTTCTTGGAAGTCTATTTCCTTTGCCAGCTTGGGGAAATTCTCCTTTATTATTTGTTCAAATAAGTTTTCCACTGGTGGCTGTGCCTTTCCCCCTTCTGGTACCCCTATAATTCGGATGTTGGAACGTTTAAAGATGTCCTGGAGGTTCCTAAGCTTCTCCTCATTTTTCTGAATTCTTATTTCTTCATTCTTTTGTTTGATCATTTTTTTCTTCCTTCTGGTCCACTCCCTTGGTTTGAGTCCCAATTTTCTTTCCATTACTATTGGTTTCCTTTGTATTACCATTCATTTCGATTAGTTTAGCTTCCATATGTTTCTCTAATTTGTGACTAAAATCAACCAGTTCTGTAAGGATCCTGATAACCAGTGTTTTGAACTGTGCATCTGAAAGACTGGCTATTTCTTCATCGCTTAGATCTATCGGTTCTGGGGCTCTGAGTTGTCCTAGAGCCATTTTTGGTCTATTCGTGCTGTTAAGTAAGCGGAGCGAAGCCTTAGTTGTTTACCAGGACGGGGAGACCCCCACATTTTTTAAATTACATGTTATTGATCGTGCCATTACAGTTGTCATGATTTTCCCCCTTTGCCTCTCCACGTTTTTCTTTTTTATAAAAGTTGAGTTGCATTGCGCCTAACACTTCCATCTAATACAGCCAAATGTTGCGTGGCAATGTTTTTTATAACTTTATTTCCCCAGTCCCTTTTTTCCTTTTTATTTTTTTAATTTAATCTTTTAAAAAAGATTTTATTTATTTATTTTTAGAGAGAGGGGAAGAGAAAGAGAAAGGGAGAGAAACATCAGTGTGTGGTTGCCTCTCACACACCCCCTACTGTAGGGGACCTGGCCCCAAACCCGAAACCAGGCACATGCCCTGACTGGGAATTGGTCAGCACTGAATCCACTGAGCCACACCAGGCAGGGCCTATTTAATCTTTATTGTATTTTTTTTCCTCATTACCATTTAGTAATGGTACTAAATGGTAGTACCACCCTCTTAACCAGTCTCTTTTGATGGGCTGTTAGATTTTTCCCAATTTTTCTCTTATCAATAATCCCTATGATGAGTGTTCTAGGTAAATTTTTATGCAGTTTCTTAATTTTGGGGGGAAGTTTCTTTGGCAAAGTCAGACATGGGTCTCTGCTCGGCTCATGTGCTGGTGCAGAATTGGAATGTGTGTGTGCATTCCAGTGCTGGCTCCTGACGTTTTATTTTCATGTTACTGGTCTTGGGCCTGACTTGGCTTTTCTTGTCATACCCATCTGCACCGAGGGACAGGGTCCTGGACTTTGGTGTGAGGCCCGGGTGCACAGACTTTCTAAGGGTTGGCTTTGGGCCACTCATATGATCTCTTCTGCCAAATGTGTCTCGTTAGGATACATCCTGGGGGGTGAAAGGAGGCTGCTGGTCAAGTTTGAAAGCCCAGTGCAATTCAGGCGAGAGGACAGAAGGCTCAGTGATGAGTTCAGCTGCCCGAGCGCCAGCTCCTCACCACCCCACCCTGGGCTCCTCTGCTGTTTCCCAGGCTCGGCCGACACTGGAGTGGCCCGGAGACTGGAAAATGCGGGCGTGTGGGGCCCACTTTGAGTGATTCCTGCTGCTCTGGCGTGAGGTTAGAGCTGGGACTCTGTTTTTTTTAAGTGCCCAGGTCATTCTAATGCATAGCAGAGATTGAACACTGCTGATTTCATCCATCCCACTTTCCAGCAGAGTTACCTTTCCGAAGCCCACTTTTGAATATTACATGGTCCTCTACCCTTTGGAACCCTCTTTCCCGTGGCTGGCCACTAGGCCAGCCTCTTGTCCTTCCCATCTCAGCTCAAAATGCCAACTCCCCGAGAGGCCACCTTCGCCATCCCACCCGGGAGCTTCCCTGGCTCTCCCACACCCCTGCTGGGCTCAGCACCATTGGGTTTCCATGCGGTTTTGTCTGTTTGTTTACTTGTCTGCAGCCAAGTCCCAGGTATGTTTCTCAGGCACAGGAATCCTCCACTGTTTGTTTTCTGCTGTATCCATCGTACCCAGACAGTGCCTGGCAAGTAGGTGCTTAATAAATGTATGTGTGTGTGTGCATGTGTACATATACATGCATGTATAGTATAAATGGACTTGAACTCTGTGCCAAATACCATGCAAAGTGCTGGGGATACAAAGGCAGAGCAGACAGCAGTCTTCTGCTGGAGGAGCTCACAGTTTGATGGCAGATGGATGAGCAAAGGGGGTTCAGTAGGATGGGAAGGGGGACAAGGGGGCAAGTGTCGAGTGTGCTGCGTGTTCTCAGGAGAGCTGCCCCCGTGTGGTCCTTCTCCCCTCTCCGGGCTCACCAACTCTGGCCCGGGGCCTGGCCCTGCCCCCAAGCCTTAGCAGGGCAGCGAGGGGGCGGGAGGCTGATGGGTGGCTCTGTGAGGAGAGCCTCTGGTGGATGACAGTGATCTCAGGGACATGGGGTCCCTCGTTTGGAAAAGACTGGACATGATTGCAAGACAGTTTGGCAGTTCCTCTCCTAAGCATCTGATGTCTGTCCTTGGGCCTAGCTGTCCGAGGGACAAGGACCTTGAGACAGATGGCAGGGTAGGGAAAGGGGCAGCTGGGAAACAACCCACCTTGTGTGAATTAACTGGTCACCGACACACGGGTGGAAGGCGCCCACTGGAGAGGGTCGTCTGCTGGGGGCGGAGCCAGGCCGGGGCCAGGCGGGGGCTGGTCTGCTGCTGGCCAGGAGGGCTGAGGGTGCTGGCCGAGGCAGCCACTGCGGCTCTAAGATCCGGCAGGTCTTCGAGTAGCGATGTTCTGTTACAATGTTGACGAGGTGCTGGAGGAGCCTGTCTGTTAATTAACCTATGATAAAGTTAGTTTCCTTATACTCTTTAAACTTGTTACATGACTATTCCAGCTGCCAGTTCTTCAAAGGGGACACTCCTGAGTCCTCATTAAAGTGTGTCACCTCAAGTCCTGGGGCTCTTAGCGGGTCACACAGTCCCTCCGAACCTGTCACTGAGCCTGGGGGGCAGCCCAGGGCTCTGATTAGCTAGTCCCAGCCCTGTCTCCCCTCTGCCTCAGTGAAGCAGACAGAGGAAGACTAGGCCGGCTCCACTTGCATGCCACACAGACTGGGCTCCTCCTGGGAAAGGGGCTGGTTCAGGGAGGGCAGGGGCAGACTGAGCGAACAGTAGAGAGGTCCACTGGCCTGAGGATAGAGAGCCGCGTGGAAAGTGAGTTACCCAGGTAGGTGATGCTGGGAGTAAGCCGGCTGGTGACCGTGGCCTTTTGTTCTTCTCCAGAAAAGCTGCCAGACGGCCACTGTCGCCACTGCCGAAGCGTCCGCGCAGACCCGGAGGCACGCAGATGCCGAGGTGCAGACCGAGGCTGCTGTGTCCGTGGACTGGCCACCTGCATCCCAGCACGACGGCCCCCGACTCGCAGCCTTTCTTCAGAGAGTGGAGGCCATGGTTATCCGGGAGCTGAACAAGAACTGGCAGAGCCACGCCTTCGATGGCTTCGAGGTGAACTGGACGGAGCAGCAGGAGACGGTAGGGAACAGGGGCCGCCTCTGGCCCATTTTAAGTCCATCTTTTGCATGGCCCAAATGATACCTGTCACAGTATCAGCCTCACCAAACCCTTCCGCTTCATCAGAGTGTCAGTGGGCCCTCGCTGCCTCCACCCTGCAGCTGGGGGTCCGGAGGCTCGGAGCCACAGTAACTGCCGGAACAGCGACAGTGCCAAGCTCGTAAGCAGCAGGGGCAGAGTTAGTGCCCAGGCATCCGACTCTGTGCCTGGTTCTCTCCTCTGCTCGGCCGAGTTTCCCCGGGGGCTCCGTGGGCGAGGACTTCCTCTGTACCGTCGCGCTCCCTCCCCGGGACCTGTGTCGGTTCTGTTACCATGTCCAGTTTATAGAAAAGGCTCAGGGTGGCTGAGTGGCTGAACCGGAACTTGAGCCCTGGTCTGTCTGGTTTCAGGGCTGTGCTCTGGTGACGTCAGTGTCTGCAGATCTCTGTGCTCTCCAGGCACAGCTCGGAGCGGCCCCTGTGAACTCCACTGTCCAGTGGACGGACAGCGGGGCGGGGCGGGGGGAGCCTCCGAAGGAAGGTGCTCCCCGCCGCGCGATGCTGCTCACTGGTTTGTACCTTTGTCTTTCCCCTTTTTAAAGATTTTTACTTATTTATTTTTAGAGAGGGGAAAGGAGGGAGAAAGAGAGGGAGAGAAACATGATGTGCGAGAGAAACAGTGATCTCATGCCCCCAACCCAGGCACACTGGGAATCGAACTGCCAGTGGTCTGGAGGCTGCCACTCAGTCCACTGAGCCACACGGGCCAGGGCCATCCCTTTTTCTGTACAGTGTTTTCTCCCTTTAGAAACTGAGCTGAGTAGTTGTATATGCAGTGTCTGCAGCCCTTCTCTCGCCCTGTCTCCTCCCGTGCCTTCCCGCCCTCTGTCTCCAGCGAGGTACGCGGCCCTCTTCCCACCAGGTCATTGTAGGTGTGGGAGTCGGTGTGTGTGACAGGGATCCTCAGAATTTCCCTGAGGTACAGTTGCTAAGTCCACACCAAAAGTGCGGAGTCATTGTATCTTTTTTTTTAAGATTTTATTTATTTATCTACAGAGGGGAAGGAAGGAAGGAAGGAAGAGAGGGAGAGAATCACCAGTGTGTGGTTGCCTCTCACACGCCTCCAACCAGGGACCTGGCCTGCAACCCAGGCATGTGCCCTGACTCAGAAGCGAACGCGTGACCCTTCGTTTCACAGGCCGGCTCTCAATCCACTGAGCCACACCAGCCAGGCTTGTCCCCCCTTTAAAAATACCTGTTCTTTTTTTATTACAAAAGCAGGGATGTTTATTATGATAATCCAGCCCTCACAGACATACAGAACCTAAGACACGCAGAGAGCAAGAGGGGCGCTGGGTCACGGGCCTGCAGAGTGTGTCCTGTGCTGGGCTGACACTGTGGCCGTCACTGTGTCATCCTTAACATGTTTAACAAGAGGAAAGCGCTGCGTGTTGGTCTGTGACCTTTCTCAGCCAGTCCCCATAAAGGTGCTCCGCTCCTCCCAGCTCTCGAGTTGAGTCCCTGTGCGCTGACACGTCACCCTCTGAGTCCCAGCTGGTGGATGTGCGGAGAGCAGCCTCGCTTCCAGAAATGTCGCCCCCTCCTGCGTGTGAGCAGGCGGGAGGCCGGGCAGCACCCTGGAGTGGCCGTGTGCTGTGCTTGCCCTGGGCGGCCCCGGAGTTTCTAGCTAATTCCGAATGTCGGGTGGAGGCGCTTTTACACTCCGCTATTGCACGACCGAACAGCCAGGCGCTGCCCGCCTTTTTCGTCCTGTGACTCACCCCCCTGCAGTGCTGTGACCGGTTTGGCCCACGTGGGGTGTCTCTGTCTCCTGTTGTCAGGGCTGTGGCCTTGACACTTCACCCCTGTCCTTGGCATTGCTGCAGAGGCCCCTGAAGTGCTGAGATGCCACTCTTACTGCAAACTGCAAAACCACATTTTAAAATTTTGTAAACAGCCACGGCCTCGTGGCCGTTGAAACGCCCAGGTGGGGCGTGTGAGGGTCGATGGGCGAGTGCGGGAAGGTGGGGCAGTGGGCGGCGTCTCTCTCTTTCTCCCCCTCTAAAAATCAGTAAGTGGAAAAAGAAATCTGTGAACAACCTGACAACACTGCCGTGCACTTAGACATTAGAGATAAGTCCCCGGGAACCTCTGACCCCTTTGCTGTGTCATTTCCTTCCCGTTGTTTTCCATCCGAGTGCTGCTGGCAGCCGAGTCCGGTGACCAGTCTCAGGGTCTTTTCTGGTCAGAAGCAAAGCCTGTTCTGTGCTGGGAAACCACCCCTGCAGAGTGAGGGTGTGAAGTAGCCCCATTTTCCCCTGATTCTCTTCCCTCGTGGTCTCATTTTGGACTGTAAATTGTATAGTCATTGCAGTCGTAGTGTTACAATAAATAGCGCACTGTGTATACGTAGTTCTCTGGTCCTTGGGGACATGTTCCAGGACCCCCAGTGGGTGCCTGGGACTGTGGATGGTACCAAACCCTACGCAGCAGGCCCTGGAAATGTTTACCCAAGTCCTTTCGTTAGAACGTCAGTGAGATGCCGGGGAGCTCAACTCTTGTCTGTGTCAATTACTCTGTGTCGAAATTGGTTTCATATACATCGTTTTGCTTAAAGTTGCAGGACCTACTGACGACTGACAGCGTGAGGTTAGGTTACTGCATATACTATGTTTCTATATACAGCGTGAGGTTAGGTTACTGCATATACTATGTTTCTATATACAGCGTGAGGTTAGGTTACTGCATATACTATGTTTCTATATACACATTCCAGTGGTAAAGTTTAGTGTCTAAATAGACACAGTAAAGGATTAGCAGTAACAGTAATAAAATGGAACAATTCTAACAACATGCGGTAACAAGTTACCCGAAGGTGGCTTTGTTCGGTGAGGTAAACGCAGCTGGAACACGAGCACACGGCCCAGAGAGGGAGGAGTTCAGGGAGGGCAGCGTGGGCAGCGTGGAACAGGTCAGCAAACGATTTCATCACGTTACGTAGATCGGCATGCAACTGAAAGCTGAGGGACTGTTTATTTCTGGAATGTTCTGTGTAATGTTTTCGGTCCATGGTTAACTGAGTAACTGAGACTGGAAGTAAAACCACAGGTAAGGGAGAAACTCCTGTAGTTTATTTTTAACGTGAACTTTTATTGACTATAACATAACATGCAGAAATTATAAGTGTTCAAGTCCATGACTTTTCTTTCTTTTTAAAAAAAATCCTATCCAAAGATATGTGTGCTGACTTTAGAGAGGGAGGGAGGGAGAGAAAGAGTCAGAGAAACATCGATGTGAGAGAGAAACGCGATCAGTTGCACCCCATGTGCGCCCTGACTGTGGACCGAACCCGCAGTGTGGGCACGTGCCTGGCCGGGGTCAGCACTCGGCCCTCTGGCGTCCGGGGTGGTGCTCCAGCCAGCGGAGCCCCCGGCTGGGGCAGGTCCAGGCCTCTCACAAAGTGGAAACATCTGTGAACCGGAACCCACGTCAAGAAACTGAAAACCCCAGACATTGTCTCATGCCCCCTCTGCTTCCCACCTCAGTGTATCGTTTTGTTTCAAAATAACAGGTCGATTGAGATTTTATTGCTCTCCCACATAATCCACCCACGTAGTTCAGTTTTAATGTATTGCCAGGGCGTGTAACCGCCGCCACAGTGAACCGGGGAGTGTTTTCCTGACCCCCAGGAAACCCCTTGCCCACTAAGCATTTCTGCCCGGCCCCCGGCAACTCCTAATCTGCTTTTCATCTCTATCCATCTGCCTCTTCTGAACATCTCATGTAGATGGAATCCAAAGAAGTGGTCTTCTGTGATTGGCTTCTGTCACTGAGCAGAATGTTGTCACAGGTCACCGAGGTGCGGCTTCAGCCGGTGCTGCATTCCTCATCTGGCCGAGTAACGTCCCACCTGCAGGGAGAGACCACCTCGTCCAGCAGCCGGTGGACATTTTGGCTCTGAGGCACAATGCCGCGAACCTCTGGGCACACGTTTTTGCGTAAACATGTGTTTTCAGTTTTCTTTGGTCACCACCAGGACCGGGACTCGTGGAGTCTAAGTCACTCCACGCGAACGTTTGGACGAATTGCCGGACTGCTGGCCGCAGGGCGTCTCGTTCCCGGTCTCGCCGCGGTTTGTAAGGGTTCCCGCCACGTGGCGTTTCCAGGTCGCGGAGTCTTCCCGTGGGGAAGTTCCTTCCTGTGGGGTCCGGGAGGCCTCCAGAAGTGTGGACCTTCTCACAGAGCGTTGCTGTGTGGTGCAGACCGCATTCCGGGAAGCTCGTGGCAAGTCCTCACCGTGGTCGGCATCGCCAGCCTTCTTTGCTCACCTGCTGTGGGCTGAGGAGCAAGATGCCGGGGCTTAAAATAAACTGTCACCGTTTTAACCGTTTCTAGGTGTACAGTCCGGTGGTTCTGAGCACACTTGCATCGCGTCGTGCAAATGTCCCCACCACCCAGCTCCAGATGCCAAAGCTTTTGCGAGTGTGAGACCGATGAGAACAGGGTCCAGCTCTGATCCCTTCCTTCTGGTTCTGGAAGCATCGTGTTGGGGGGCAGGCCGGGACGAAGGCCCCATGTTGTCCTCGGGGCTGCGTGGTGCGTGGTGGACTCTGACCTCTGTCAGGACGCCAGTGGCCCGAGCCCAGGGGTGGTTTTTGTTGGGTGGCACCGGGCTGCCTGCTGGGTGGCTCTCAGGCTCAGGGTTGGGGACGCTCTGTCTCTTGCAGGTGATGTGCCTGCACACCCTGGGCTACCCCCCCGCCCAAGGGCAGGGTCTGCATGTGACCAGTGTCTCCTGGAACAGCACAGGCTCCGTGGTGGCCTGTGGCTATGGCCGGTGAGTGGCAGCGGGGGCCCTCGGGCTCTCGCTGGAGCCTGTTTCCCTGTCTACACAGGGTTGGCGGGGAGCTTCCCAGACAGTGGGTGGCGGGGGCTGGGAGGGGTTGGAGCCCAGGACTCAGAGTGCCCACCGGCCAGCCCTGGGCAGTGAGCCTTGGGCCTGCCGTGCCTTCTCCATGAGCTGTTTTCTGACGTGTGGGCTCCCCCAGCCCTGGTTCCTGGGAACCATTTTCTGCAGAAAGGCGTGCCCTCGGGGTGCCATGGAGGAGCCTGTGGCACTTTGATACCAAGTACAGTGTCTGGGTGTGATGCGGACACGGGCCGCTGTGTTTTGGGGTCGTGGGCCAGAGGTGGGGGCGGGATGGAGGGCAGAAGCCCCGGCCCAGGGACAGAGCCAGCTCGGCCCTCCGTGTGCAGGCTGGATGACGGGGACTGGGGCACCCTGAAGTCCTTCGTGTGTGCCTGGAACCTGGACCGGCGAGGCCTGAACCCCCGGCAGCCATCGGTGGTGGTGGAGGTGCCCAGCGCCGTCATGTGCCTGGCCTTCCACCCCACACGGCCCTCCCACATTGCAGGTGAGCCGCCCAGCCTGCCTAGCATCTCTTCCCTCCCTGCAGAGGGCATCCAAAGGAGAGGCCCCCATTGGGCCCTCAGCCCCTGGTTCGGGCCAGGGCGGAGCTAGTGGGAAGCAGAGACCATAGGTGAGCCTGTGCTCAGGTGAGGGTGCCGAGTGGGGCATGCAACTCAGTGAGAGGTGGCAGGTCCCCAGCTGAGCTGTAATGGCCTGCGGGCCGAGCAGAGGGTCAGCCTTGTTGGGATGAGAGCAGATGGAGGCGGAGCCGGCGCCTCGGGAGCTGCTGCTGTTGACAGGAGCCACACACCTGGGAAGAGGGTGGTGCTGGGGGAATGGCGAGGGCTGGGTAGAGGAGATTGCCCTGCAGCGGAGGAGCTTCCTGGGTGGGGCCTGCCCTGGGTAACGGGGCTTGTCCTCCTCGGGGTGGCTTTCAGGGCGGTGGTTCCACATCCTGGCTCAGTGGGCGGGAGGGGCAGGTGCTTGGTCAGGATGCTGGGCTGCTGGGCACAAGTGGCTGGCTGGGTCCCACAGGTGGCCTGTACAGCGGCGAGGTGCTGGTGTGGGACACAGGCCATCCCGAGGACCCACTGCTCTGGCGTACAGGCCTGACAGACGACACGCACACGGACCCTGTGTACCAGGTCAGGGCAGTGGGCGTTTGGGAGGGTCAAGGAGGTACCTTTCTCTCCTCTCTGAGCTGGGCCTTGCTGGCGTGGGCCTGCTTCTTAAGGCAAAGCAGGAGCGAGGGTGCCCGCTTGGCACAGCCAAGAAGGTCACGAGGGAGCGGGCAGTTGGGCAACTGCCATCAGCATTCTTGGAAGTCCCAGGGCCTGAGTCACACCCCTGTCCCCGGGAGGAGCCACCCCAGGGGCCACTGCCTGCCTCCTCCAGCTGTCCTGGCTTTCTGTTGGGACTGGGGGACGGACCTCGGAGCCCTCCGTGCCTGCCCTTGGGCAGCGAGTGAGGCGGCTCCCAGGCCTAAGCCTCTTTGGGGGTGCCAGGTGGCAGGTGTCTGTTTCTTGACCTTGGTCCCGCACCCCGTTGTCCCAGGTGGTCTGGCTCCCCGAGCCCCGCCACAGCCACCGCTGCCAGGTGCTGAGTGTGGCCACTGATGGGAAGGTGCTGCTCTGGCAGGCAGCCGGGCCGGGCCAGCTGCAGCTCACAGGTGGCTTTGCCCTGGTCGTGCAGCAGCTGCCACGGAACACCAAGCTGAAGAAGGTACGTGGGGGCCGCTACCCCCAGAAATGGCTGAGGATAGCTCCGGCCTGCGGGACCTGCCTGTTGGGTGAATCTTGGGGCAGGTTGGGGCAAGCGGGCAGTGGCACCGGCGCCACCAGCTGAGCTTGGACCTGCTGCATGGCCTCTTTGGGCCTGGGCTCCTTTGGGGCACTCGCCAGCTTCCCTCACCTCTGCCCTGCCATCCCTTCCCCACAGCCGCACCGTGGAGAGACCGAGGTGGGAACCACGGCGGTGGCTTTCTCCAGCTTCGACCCTGGCCTTTTCATCCTGGGCACGGAAGGCGGCTTCCCGCTCAAGTGCTCCCTGGCAGCGGAGGCGGCTGCTGCCACACGGACACCGAGCTCCGTGCCCCTGCGGGCCCCGGCCCAGTTCACCTTCTCTCCCCATGGTGGCCCCATCTACTCCGTGAGCTGCTCCCCCTTCCACAGGTGGGCAGAGCGTGGCCTTCGGGTCGTCCTGCACCTGCCACAGGGCCTCTGGCACGGGCGGCTGAGGGGTCCTGCCAGGCTTCACCATAGAGCTGCTTCAAGGGCCTAGAGTCCGGCCTGGGCCTGGGTTGTCCGAGTCTGGGCCCCGGCACCCAGAGACCCGATGACTGGTCCCAGGGAACCGGACCCTCTCTAACCAGGACTGCCGGTCTTCGGGGTCCAGGGAGGGCTTCTGGGAGCCTGAGGGCCTAGCAGTCTGGGGAGGCTCCGCTGTACCTGGACCCCCAAACTCATCCCATTGCTGGGCCTCCCGCCCTCTCCCACACAGGAACCTCTTCCTGAGTGCAGGGACCGACGGGCACGTCCACCTGTACTCCATGCTGCAGGCCCAGCCCCTGACCTCCCTGCAACTGTCCCACAAGTACCTGTTTGCCGTGCGCTGGTCCCCTGTGCGTCCCTTGGTGTTTGCAGCAGCTTCTGGTGAAGGTAGGGAATGGGACATCAGGCTTGGATCCCTTTGAGTGACATGAGCCCAGCCTGGCCCACCGTTCGGGGGTGAGGCCTCTGCCTGTGTGGGACAGAGCTGAACTGGGCAGCGTTCTTCATCTGAGCTGTGGCCCAGGAGCCTGTCGGCCCAGGTGCTCAGGGAACTTGACGAGGCTCCGGGCCTCTCACCCAACTCTCTCTCCATGAAGGTGATGTGCAGCTGTTTGATCTCCAGAAAAGCTCCCAGAAACCCACAGTTTCAGTCAAGCAAACCCAGGATGAAAGCCCTGTCTACTGCCTTGAATTTAATCGACATCAAACTCAGCTGCTGGCTGCTGGCGACGCCAAGGGTGCAGTGAAGATCTGGCAGCTGAGCACCGAGTTCACTGAGCAAGGGCCGCGGGAGACGGAGGACTTGGAGCTGCTGGCAGTGGAGGTGGCCGCCTGAGGCCGCGGAGGGGCGTGTGCCTGGGCATGAGGCTGGTGGGGCGAGGTGGTGTCTGAGCTGTTTCTGATGGAAGCTCAATGAAGACAGACAAGTTTTGGGGGCAGAGTTGAGTCGTTTATTTCTTTTACATGAAACAGAATTTGGGAGAAGGTAGGGAGAACAGGAGGAAACGAGCCAACTGCTTAGATTTTTTGAAGTCGGAATGGAGCAGCTGGCACGCAACAGGAAGCTGGGTCCCCACGGCGATTGTGACTGGGCCGGAAGCAGTTTACCGAAGCACCATCTTCTACTACGTTTTATCCCAAGCTAAGCGGGTTTAAGGTTACATTGCAAAGTGACACTGTCTGGAATATTTTTCTGAAGAGCACAGAGATGAGTCGACATGCAGCAAGGCAACGGCAGGGCCAGGCGAACCTAGGGGCGGAGGGTCAGTTCACGAAGAGCGAGCGGGTGAACTCAACGTAGTCAAAAGCCGTGGGGAGCTCGCGGCCCTTGCCGTCCACATAGGGCTTCATGTGGGAGACGCAGTAGTCGGCCTGTTCCCGGGTCAGGTTCTGGAGGGAAGACAGCGCCCGTCAGCCCCACTGAAGTGGTGGGCTGGGTGGGTTTCACAACTGTTACTGCCCGAGCCTCAGGAGCCCTGGCCCAGCGTCCAAAGCCAGTTAGCTCTGAGCTGATAGGAGGCTCTGGCCTGGACAGAGAGTCATTGTAAGCGGGGCTGGAACACCTGCACCCAGCAGGGGAGGGCATTAAGGTGAGGCCTGTTGCTGAAGACTCAGCTCTACCCTGACCCAGGGGCAGCCCTCAGCTTTGCTAGTCCTAGGACCCCTGAACCCCCTCCTGCCCAGGGCAGCGGGGTAGGAGCAGAGTCCCAGACCTGGTACAGCTCCTCCTTGGTCACGTAAGGCTTTCCCTCCGAGCTCAGGGCCCGGAAGGCGCTCTCGATCTCCTCACTGGACTTGACATTCTCCGTCTCCCGGCTGATCATGAAAGCCATGTACTCTTGCAGGGAGACATGGCCGTCCCTAGGGAGGAGTGAGGGCAGTGAGCAGAGGGGCAGCAGGGGCCTTGGGCAGAGCCCTTTCCACTGCTTCCCCCAAGGCTCACCGGTTTGGATCCACCGTGTCCAGAATCGCCTCAAACTCAGGGTCGGGTTCTCCTTCCTCCACCATGGGCAGATCATAGCCCAGGGAGCGCAGGCAGGATTTGAACTCCTGGTGGTTCAGGCGGCCAGATTTGTCCTTGTCAAAGTGTCTGTGGCACAAAGTGGAGGGTGGCTCAGCACACAGGCCTGCTGCTGAGCCTGCCCGCGCCCCGCCCGGGGAGGGTGCAGGTGTACTCACTTAAACATCATGCTGAACTCTTTGAGGGCCTCTTCGGTCACCCCTGTTGTGTTCCTGCCAGAAAGAGAATTAGGGACCATGACCCCACCCCACACAGCTGGACTCCGGGTGACCTATGCTCAGGGGAGGGACTGCTCTTCCCGCAGCCCCCGGTGCCGGGCGCTGGTACCTGGCCTGAATCTGTTGCTCCAGGTTGTGCTGCATGCGCATGCCCAGCTGGTCGAGCTGGTCCCACTGCTGGGCCAGGCCCACAGTGCTGTGCTCCGTGTACTTGTTGTCCAGGATCAGGGCTTCCTCCATGGCCGCCCCGAGGTCCTCGATCTTCTTCAGCTGACTTCTCATGGCTCGAATCTCCTGGTGCTTGCGCTGCAGGGTAGGGGAGCAAAGATGTATGGGACGGGCTCTTGCCTCGGTCACCAGGCTCAAGAGCCTGACCAGCGGCCCTGGCCCTCCCCGCCTGAGAGCAGCAGGGCTGTGTACAGTGGGAAAGACACGGTGAAGTGTAGGACCCAGCAGCTTCAGGAGGGGGCAAGACTTCAAAGCGACAGCCACAGAGCAGTGGGCACATCTGCCTGGGAAGCCGCTGGGCTGGTGAAAGAGTCCGTGTAGTTCCTTCTGTGAAATAACAGGTTTTTTGTTTTCACCAATAACTTCATTGATTTGGGTGTTCTGAGTATGTTGGCCATCTCCTGTGTGGTATAACGCTGATAGTTCTCAACTGACGTCTTGATTTGACCGCCACTGACTTCAATGCGTCCGCTCAACCAAGGAGCATCGTCTAGTCCCCAGCATGAAACCGTGCAAACCGCTTCTGACACATCTGCCTGGTCGCAGCCCCTTCGCCACACACAGCACAAACTTTTTTGTCTCAGTTGCGTTTTTACCTTTCTTGAAATAGTAAAGCATAATGGCCCAAGTGGCGTATTTTCTTCCCTCATCAATGTTGAAATGGGTACACAAAAATTCACCAATTTTGTTAAGTTTTTAAAAAAATGCCCAGACATGACAGCTTTCACAATACAATCTAACAAAACTGTCTCAAGTGAAGTTAAAGACAACTAAGCACTACTAGAACTACTGTAGGTGAAAAACCAAACTTGGGCCAACCCAGTATATACAAGGCGAGAAGAGCTTTTTCTCTTCGAGCCGGGCTCAAGGCAGCAACCGTCAAAGACAAAGCCTTCCCTTCAAGTGGTGGGGAACCCAGGCCGCTTTAAGCCAAGGGTAAAGGGGAATCCAGCCAGCCCACCTCAGGCCAGACTGAGAGCCAGGCAGGCCCACTGGGGTGCACAGGTGGGGAGGGTCTCAGCTGGGTCAGGAGCCCTTGGGGCACTTACTTTGGTAGCTTCAAGCTGGGATTCAAGGGTCCCAGATTCTTCCACCATGCAGGACCTAAATGCAAAACACAGAATCACGGGGAGGCAAGAGGGACCTGTGAGCTTGAAATAAACTACCCTTAGATAAAACTGCCTGCAGTCTCCAGTGCCTTTTAAAAAGGAAACTGAACCCATCTGCCGTGGCTGTCTTTCCCTACGTGGTCCAGGGAGCAGGCCCGGCCACACTTTCCCCGGGGGGAGGCGGGAAGCTGCTGCTCCATGTGCGATGCCACCTACCCCAGGCTGAGCTCCCCCCCCCACCCCGCCTGCTCCCAGGTCTTCCTCGTGGCTCCTCAGGCCCTACACTGCTGTGACACAGTGACTGACCCACGCTAGGCCCTTGGGGGACACCTCAGGAACCGACTTTCCAGAAAGGGGGGGGGGCTGCTGGCCTGACAATGCACCCTCTGCAGCCACAGCGGAGGGAGACCCCCCACAGGACCCTGCTGCCGACAGGTGGGGAGACCTTAGGCAGGAGGGAGGCTGACAAGCAGACAGCCACCCCAGAAACCCCTGGGGTCTCCTGCAGGTCCCCAAGGAGGGGCCCCTTTCAAGGGAAACACAGACCCCTGAGACATGGACATCGGGCACTAAGAGATCATGGCCAGACCTGAGCTTTAAAAACGGCTCTAATTCTGTCCGAAGGAGGGAGGTGGCTGTGACTAAGCCCCCGCTTCAGGTTCCAGGATCTAGTGGCAGCACCAGAGGCTCCTGCGAGGGCCAAGTTCGGAAGAGCAAGAGGGCTGGGGGGGCCTCCGTCCCGTTGACACAGTGCAAGGCCACAGGGGGCTTCCAGTGAACGAAGATGACACTCGGGTTGGGGGCACGTGCAGGGACAAGTCACACTGTGCACATGTCCTTGGTGGGATTTTAGCCCAGCCTCCCCTGTACCCATATTTGCCCCAACCTACTCTTTAACACCCAGCGAGCCAGGGTTAGCTCTGAAGTCTCCCCAAGTTCAAAGTGTCCAGCAAAAGCAAGGCACCAGGCTTCCTCCTACCCCAGCAGATCAGATCAGACTCACAGTCACAACGTGTCCCCCAGGACAAAGCACACCCCCGGAACCGGGGGGTGGGAGGCTGGGTGCTGGTGCAGGGGGAGGAGGACAGACCCCTCTGTCCCAAGCGGCCAAGGGCAGTGGGTTAGTCAGAAAGCAGAGCCGCCTGGGGAAGTCAAGAGTGCATGGGTAAAACCACAGTGAGGTAAGGAGAGAAATAAGAGGAGAAAAACCTTCCAGACAGATCATCCCCAACTTCATACTGATAGACACGAATGACCCGACGATACGCTATGCTATTCAAAGAGAAGAAACCAAATGAATACACCAAAGGAAGGGGGAGGGGAAGGCACACCAAGACAGACACACGCCACTGGCCCGAGCAGGCAGTGCCCAGGCAGGGACCCGGTGCGGGGGAAGGAGAGGGCCAGCCTAGGAGGGTGGGGAGCCTTGGCACAGTGCACGAGGGCCGGGCAAGACAGGGCTGGGGCAGACACGCGGTAAGGGGAGCATGGTGCCCCACAAAGACAAGACGGGGACCAGCAGGCAGCCCCAGGGGTACAGGGGCAGAGCGAACACCAGGTGGCTTATGAGTTCAAGCTAGAACTGGGACCCCTAAACTCTGACCCATTCTGCCTTTAGCACACGGGGACGAGTCTGTCCAGGCTTTCTGCTCCCACTGCTCAGTTTACCTGCTGCCGAGCCTCAGGAGCGCTGGCCTAAAGCACGGTGGTCCCACCACCCCCGGCCCTGAGAATGGGCCTGGGAGGGAATGCAAAGGTGACTGACCGACCCAGGCAGAAGCCAAGACTGGAGGGAGAGGCCCCTGCTGGGAGCGGGTGGGGTGGCCCCGCTCCTCTTAGGCTCCTTCCAAGCCCTATCACTCAGAAATACAGGGCACTTCTGCCTTCAGTTAGGATAAATGACACCTGTCCCTCTTCCCCACCCCAGGAACACAGGTTGCTGGGGGAGGGTCAGTGCACAGCTGGGGACTTATTGAACCAACTGAACCCCTAAATGCTGTCATCCGCTTAATGCCCATGGTCTCCTAAGTACCACCCCCCTGGACACACAAGGAGGACAGGCAAAAGTGGCGACCACTGCCATCCCCTGGCTGAGCCAGCACAGGGATTCCCGGAGGCCTGGTCTCAGCTCCGGCCTCCCACCTCAGTCACACTCCCTGACTGAGAACCCCCGGAATGGGGACGGGAAGGCGGGAGGACCCCTCCTCCCCAGACGGTAGGCTGTCAAGGACAGTGGGCTGCGGGGCATGGCGCACACTCCTTGTAAGGTGACGGGGACAGGGCATGGGGAGTGCAGCCTGCCCTGGGCACAGGGGCACAGGAAGGCCCATCCTGGGGTCCTCTACAAGTCAGGCCACAGGGGGAC